AGAAACGCAGAAGTGAACAATATAACATATGGGATTAATTGAAATAGAGACCGCCGACCTCAAATCATTCTTTTGATCTACACACAACTATAAGCAGTAAAAAATATTATCTTAACTTTATGATGGTATGCACACACAATTAATAATTAAGAGAAATATCAATATTAGGGTTTTTAACACTTACATTAGTAGAAAAGATGGCTGGGCACACGGGATGGGGCGGTTGGTTCCGGAGGCAGAGGGCGGGTGATTATTGGCCCTCACCTGTATCACTTGTATCAATTGTATCACTATCCACCACAGAGGCTTGCAGGGCCTTGTCAAAACCCCTCACAAAGTCCATATATAAGTCCATATCTCACTATAATTATCACTATCACTGACTTGGGTCGGCTGTGGTGGTGGCGGTGAAGAACCTCGGGTAATGTTTTGATGACTGGGCGATCTTTGTGCGCATTCATGCTCGCCGGGCCATACAACATGGCGGATGGCGGAGAGGGCGGAGAGATGGCGGAGGTTTAATCCAAAAATGGCGAGGCTCGCCAGCCGCCTCCGCTAGGGGCAAGGGGCATAATGCACTGCTGAATGTGAGAGTATTCCGTTTCGCAGGGTTACCGTGAGAAACATGGAAACGCTGAATGTGGGACCGCCAGAAAGATTGGGAAATCTGAATTAAGATATAATGTACTGAGAGTCACAAATTGTTTAACAAAAACCTTATTGGTGTCAGATGTGAAGGTTAAAGGCAGACAAAAAATAATAATTAAATATTATCTATTTTTTTGTCTTGATTCATAGTTTTTTAGACTGCTAGACTCATAGTAGTGGTATACAGTGACCCCTCGGTTAACGAACTCAATCCGTTCCAGAAGGTCGTCCGTTAACCGAAAAGTTCGTTAACCGAAACCATTGTTTCAATGGGTTTTTGGGTAATTGGTTCCAGCTCACCGAAAATTGCCTAAATTCAACAAAAATGGTAGAAAAGTTCACTTACTTTGAGGTGTGTATGTAGAAGGCTCCTGGATGATGATGATGATGATGGGAATTAGAATGGGGTGGAGGAGAAGGAAGAAGAGAAGGCATTGGGGTGGAAGAGAAGTCACCCCATGGCACCATTTCACCCATAAAATTTTAGTTCTCTTGGTGTATTTCAAGATTATTTTCTTTAAATCAACACTGCACTGCATTATATATTGTCAATATGTAAAATATATTTCAAAATGACCAATAATTTGCTTGGAAACACAGAAAAAAAGCGTTTAGTTGAAGAGAGTCTCAAGCAAGATGTTACCTCCAGTGAAAACAGAGAGAGACTAACTCCTGTTTGCTGTGTTAAGAGGCTGGATGCCGCGCATTAAACTAGTCACTTTACCTTCAATTATGTTCAATAATTGTTAAAATGACTAAAAATTGAATATTAAACTTTTAAAATTATTGAATAGTATAAACTTCTTGATATTTACTAAAATAGTAAGGAATTTAAGCCCTAGAACCAATTAATGTATTGGCGGACTGATACTAAAGCTGGTTGCCCGGTCAGTGCAAGCGAAAACATGTTGAGGTCGGTTCGTAAGAAATTCGTTAACCGAATTTTTGTTCGTTAACCGAATTGAAGATCCTTATGGAAGGCAGTTCGTTAACCGAAATTTCGTTAACCGAGGCGTTCGTTAAACGAGGGGTCACTGTAATGCCATTAACAGTGTCGTTGACTTACTCTAGCAATTTTTTCATGACACACCACTGCTGTTACTGTATTCATAAGGTTGGTACAGTGTCTGGTGCCAATAAAAACACAGAAAATGTATAATCTAGAACAGGATTACTCCTCTGTTACTCAACTAAAAATGTATTAATACTACAGTGAGTTTGTGATGTTTAAGGTTAGATCATAATAAAGATATACACAGCACATTACAGTACATTAAGAATGGAAGGAAGGACAGTATGCTCTGTCACTGTAAAATATAACACAAGTACTGTAGGTATTTTCCTTTGTTGTCCATTCTTTAATGCTAGAAAATGAGCTTTTGGTAGATAGCTACCTCATATTGAAATAATTATACATCACTCAGGTAATTTAGCATACAGTATACTAGTACTGTAGTAAATTAACAGTCAAAATTTTACATGTTCACTTTTAGTTCAAGAGATTTGAATTGAAAAAAAAAGGAAGAATGCAGAAATGCCCAATTATGTACGTATAACATATTCTTTGAGCTGATGACCGATACCAGGCATGAAAATGATTGTTCTTTGTCAATGATGTGTGTTTCAGGACGTTTTATTCTATAAATAATGTTGTCCATTTGAAAAACATTATAAAGAACATCATTGTTTGTCTAATCACTTAGGTTTTCCTTTTTATATACGTAATGTATATGCATAGTATGTGAAGTTTGAGTGTACTGTAATACTGTACAGTACCCTGTTTTTGTCTAGTGATAGATTTGATATTGAAAGTAATTGTATTTTATTTCAGGTTTTGTGAAGATGCTGGGGGATAAGGAATGCCAGCATGCTCCACTGTACCCCACCTCATATAGTTGTTGTAACATACTGTACATGGGAGTCAGCTAGATGGGTTCATTATGAATTCGATTATGGCAAACACATCAAATAATGGTTCCCTGATTCTGATTCTTCCTGTAATTGTGCCACAGAGCAACTTTAATGGTCGTATACCTGCAAATGATAATTGCATTAAGAAAGAGACCAACACTTCATCAACTGAATATATGAGTGTGATGAATGGTTCTCAGATAGAGGGAAACCTCGTGGACATAAAACAGGAAGCGGACACAAATAAAATTGAAGTTGACGTGAATCCCGATATTGTGATTAAAAGGGAAGTGGAGCAGTGCAAGCAGGAAATATTAGAGGAGGAAAACAATCCCCCTGCCAAACGAAGAGGAGCACTCAGAGGTGAAACTGTTGCTTCATATCCTTCGACAAGACATGCAAGTATCACAGCAAATACTACATTACAGAACCCACCAGGGATTTATACACTCTGCATACCTATCAGACACAAGTCACCAACACCAGAGGAAAAAATCAGTGCTGTAGTAAATGGGACTTATTTTAAGGTGAGTTAGTCCAAAACATCATACAATTCACACTTTAGACAGGACTTCCACTTAAATTTTGTTATACCTGTTCACATATTTAAAGAATGAAGTCATTTTTATGTAAAATAATGTGAAGGAGAATGTCTTTCCTTTTTCGGTTGTCAACACTTACAGGTTATATCGCAATAAGACATCCAGTAAGTTCATTAATTAGTATTGTCTGTCAGTAGTATTCTCCCACCCTATCTGGTTGATGAGAATATAACAGCTGATATATGTCTCTTTTTCTGCAGTAAAATATTTTCAGTGGAATCTTAAAGGACTTTCCAAATGCCTGTGGTCAACTGTATTTGTGCGATGCTTCTCACTCTGAAGGTTTTGACAGCAGTTTGGGCCTTTAATGTGTAATAAACCACAGCCAAGAGAGATGCAGTGCAGTACGGGCAGTCCCCGACTAACGACTGGGTTAATGACCCAAATTCAGGTCGTAAGTCGAAAATACGAAAATAATACATAGAAAATCTATAATGGGTGTCTCTTTTTCTTCTCAGCCCACAAAACTCTCACTTTTAAGCTTGCCAGCCATTTTAAATGGAATTACAAACGAAAATTTTCTCAGTACACAGCGCAATCACTAACGTCGGGACTCAAAATTACGCAATTTGAAAATTTTTTAGTTCGACTGAGGCAGTTGTATGTACGGGTGGTCGTATGTCGAGTAGGTCGTAAGTCGAGGAGTACCTGTATATACAGTACAGTACCTAGTTCTCAGATAATATTAACATTTATACTACTTTTGCTAGTTGTTTATAAGTACTGTACTGTAGTGTAGAGGGAGGAATTATGTGCAATAATGACCGCTTCACTGCCAGGCGTAAGTGAACAGTTGAGTTGTATGTATTATGGATTTTCTTTTTTTTTCTTGTAAAATATAACTTGGGTCACAAATATTCACTATAATATGCTGAAATCAGTCATATAATGAGTGAAAGTGTCAAGTAAGTTGAATGCTACTGGGAAAATTTTTACAGAAGGAGAGCTCTTGATTGGCTGCGAGCATACACGGGTACAGTATATCGCTCTCATTGGCGGAGACACTGGAAACAAGTATGGCCTCTGTCAGCGAATTCCAGATGGTCAATCTTGGAACTTCTGCCTTGTACTGTTTTATGGATTTTCATAATTTTTTTTTCTAATAAGAAATAACTCAGGAGAGGACCAGAAAGCTCTATTAACAAATCAGCCCTATGCAGGGTAGGGTTAAAAAGGGTATTGCTGTAATTATTTGGATATGAATGGGCCCAAGTCCCAATTTTTTTTTACCATAATGGACTAGAGTCTGTTATTTTTTACTTTAATGGACTTGAGTCCGTGATAAATGAACCTAGTGAGAATGGGTCAGTGTCCGATAAAGCCGAGGTCTGTTATAAGCGGTGTCCTTTTTTATCGGGGGTTTACTTTACAGTAAATTAATATACAGTTAACCCTCACTTTACGCGGTTAATGTAACCCGGAGGGTCCCGCGTAAAGTGAGAAACGCGTAAAGTGAGAAACGCGTAAAGTGAATAACATAACATATGGGATTAATTGAAATGGAGTCCGGGCCGATCCCCAACTCCACTTTTTGACGACACACAACTATGTTGTAGTAAAAATATTATCTTAACTTTATGATGGTATGCACACACAATTAATAATTAAGAGAAATATCAATAATATTAGGTTTTTTAACACTTACATTAGTAGAAAAAATGGCGGGGCACACGGGGATGGGGGGGTTGGTTCCGAGGCAGAGGGCAGATTATTGGCCCTCACCTGCATCACTTGTATCAATTGTATCACTATCCACCACAGAGGCTTGCAGGGCCTCTTTGTCAAACTCCCCAAAGTCCATATAAGTCCATATCCTCACCATAATTATCACTATCACTGACTTGGGTCGGCTGTGGTGGGTGGCGGGTGAAGAACTGGTAATGTTTTGATGACTGGGCGACCTTGTGCGCACCATGTTCGCGCAGCTTACACAACATGGCGGATGGCGGGAGGTTTGGATCCAAAAATGGCGCGGCTCGCCAGCCGCTCTCCGCGTAAAGGGGTACACGCACCGCGGAATGTGAGCATCCTGGGTTCCGGCAGGGCACCGCGTAAACGTGGAAACGCGGAATGTGGGACCGCGTAAAGTGAGGGTTAACTGTATAAAGGAGGAGGTCAATCCAGAAACACTCTAGTTTGGGGGCCACTGTACATCTCTTTGGAATCTATGAAGTTTTACACAGCACATTTACAAAACAGTGGCAAGTATAGGTAACATAGTAATTCTATTTTCTTGAACTGTGCACATAAGATGCATAATTTTGAATTGTATAAAGTCTGCTTCTCTCCTCCTACCACTTCAAGTTCTTGCTGAGATAGGCAAGGCACATAGCCCCAATATCCCTTTTACACTTGCATCTGTAAATTCATATGGTACTGGTAGCACATCTTACAGAATGCAAAATAACTGTTGTGAAGTAAAAGTTGAAGAGTATTTCTTTGTTAAATGATCTCCCTAATGTTATGATGGTTTGTCTATTCCAGAATGCAGTGTCATTTCTTCATGTACTGTTGTACTTTTCTTCCTCTCACAGACAATTCTTCCGGATGAATTTGAACATCGAATCTGCAGTTATCAAAAAGTTACAGATGGGGAAAATTTTAAGGCAACAATCAGAATTAAAGCTGGAAGTGAGGAAGAAGTGGAAAGATGGATTTTTGCATTTGAAAATAAATCGCTGACAGATTGGAGGATTGAAAGAACGTACCCCCACAGTGGTCTAAAAAATCTTTACAAGGTATTTTACTTACTCTAACTGGTATTATTCCTCTGCAGAATTTTAAAAGTCTCAATACTAATATGACTTGCAAAGTTTCTTTCTTAAATACACAGATCTTTACACTCCTCATTTCCATTCAGGTTGATCTACGATGCCAGCATAACACAAGACCCAGAAGTAAGGAGACACCCAAGGAGGCAAAGAACAGAGCTAGCAAAAATACAGACTGCCCAGCAACCATAACAATCATTGTGAAGAAAACTAAATTCAGTAGGAATCGTAGATCAAGGTTTGTGTGTGCAGCAGTGTGTATATTTTTGCGAGTCTTGGAATTTTTAGTCTTTCATTCATTCCGTGTGCATCACATGGTACTTGGTAACCTACTTTACCTTCCTTGTCTAATTGCAGTACAGTATTACTTAGATTTTGGATGGAAAGATGAGCTGCTAGGTTGTGTGAGGCAACACAAAAAACTAGACAAGTTAATTGGGACCTTTTTGTGAAAGGGTCCTACCACAGCAGATCACATCTATTACAACAGCATGAGTCCATAAATTGAAGTGATTACAGTCAGCATTTATCTGTGTATTTTACTTACCGTAATAAGTTTCTATTGACTTGGTGGATTCACTTACCTGTAAGTCTGTGGGTGAATTTTTATTATGCTGGTGCTTACCTTTGATATTGAATTTTTTGCTAACTTAGGTGATATTAAATATTGTATTTAACTTGCAAACATTAGAGTAAATTATATCAACATTGTTTCCATTTAATAATTTTCCATAGACTTTTTGATGCATTTTACTTAACATATACCGTACAGTAAAATCCCAGTTATCCGGCACTTATGGGGATTGAGAGGTTTTTCCGGTTAGTTGAAAATCATTCTTAAGATCCCCCAATAAATCCTACAATGCACGGTGCTACAGGCTGGCCTCGCAAATTCGTGTTTCAGAAAGACTGACATTTCTAGCACTTATTACACTCTACATAAACAATGTGGGTTAGAAAGAAAGAAATTGTAAAATAAACTAAAATTAAGAAACATGAAGAGCGTGGGTGTGTATGTGTGGGAAGTGAATGTGTGCGGAGGTGGTGGGCTATAACCAAGGTCTTGGCTATAACTATGTTGCTGACTCGCTAACCCAGCTGCCTTATACAATATACAGTAAATATTGTGACTTGTAACAAAACTATAAAAGTTGTGGAAACATCATTGCAATACTCTGATGTGACTTAGAAATAAAGAAGGTATAATATAGAACTATAAAATACGAAAAACAAAGAACATGGGTGTGTATGTGTGAGAAGGTGGTGGGCAATAACTGTGTGGCCTCGCTCCCTCCCGATGTGATGTCATGGCATACACACAGCCAGTGGGGCAGCTACACATCTGTGAGTCAGCTGGGTGACTGCCTGAAGAGTCTGTACATAAAATTTGTAATATTGTTTTTTATGATATGTTCTGTATCGATATTATTGTTTATCAATAGCAATAAATATATCAGCTCATCCCTGTTGAACGCAGTATTCAAACTTTCGATTCTAGCTGATTTTGGAGGAATTTCTATTTTCATTATCATTTTTACGTATTTAATTTTGCTGCCGTTTGCCCGGATACTGTATAGCAGGGATTCTACTTTATACTGTACTGTAGCAAGAAAAAAATGGTAACTACGATACTGTACTGTATATTGAAAACACTGGCTCCTCAACCCAGCAGCAAGACATGATTTTTCTAGGTGTCTTTTTTATGCTCTGTGCTCTGGTGATAATTGTTTCATGTGCAAATGATCTGTTGCTGAGTTACTGTATGAACTAATTACTCCTCCGTCAATATTACTACAGTATACAGTACCTCGCAAAGTGGGCAGAGCTTTGAAGAAGAGGGAAAATGTGGGGTAAAAACAAGTAAAATGTAGAACAGGTTGTACCTCTCTAGTTCAGCATTCTGTGGTCCGGAAACTCCCGTAGTCCGGAACGATTTTAGTTTGCCCAATCGCCAACATCCCTGATGTACCTCAAATGTAATTTTAGTTACAGAACCATCACTTCACTTTGGAAGCAGAATTATGGTAGCAGTAAAGGTAAATTAAATAGTATTTTAACTGTATTACTTTTTCTTATTTATGTATTTCCTATCTTATGGTTTTATGCTTTATGTAGGGTGTTTCGGGGGTGAATTTCCATGGTCCGGAAATTTCCATGGTCCGGCACCGGTCAGGTCCCGAGGTTGCCGGACTAGAGAGGTACAACCTGTACAGTATTTTATCTTGTTTTTTATAATTTTTTGTGTTAAATTGTTTCTTTCAGTGTTCTTGCACACAGCCACAGGGATGGTTATGACCTTTTTCCTGTGGATCAGTTTTTCAGCAACTGGTTTATTTTTTCCATGTGAAACCAACTACGTTCTATGTAAAATTGGTTGACTTTTACATAAAACAATAAATAATTGAAGACAGAAGAAATACATTTAATGGTGAGAAGTTATACATTACAGTTTTCACCTCCAAACAACTTGTATTTCACCCAAAAGGACGGTATTATACAACAAAAAAGCGGAAATTTTTATGCATTATATTGGTGAAATCAGATATTGGGTATGAGTAATAATAAGGCTGATAAATTGAAGAAAAAATCATATTCCTTTTAGCTGTAACCATTATTTTTTATTCCTTCTTTCTTTCCATTGGTTAGCTTAAGTGTCTAGGTATATTATGGTGGTTTTAATTTTTGTTGCTAGCATGTATGATTTGGCTGTAAGCAATTTTAGAATAAAAAAATCCATCCCCATCAGTTCACACATAAACAAGTTTGACTCAGCGTAATATTGAAGAATAAACTAAAAACTCATTTTGTAAAAACTAATGAATATTTAACAAACAATTTTACAGACGAATATTACTACGCAATGGAGGAAAGGAGTGTGTGTGTGTGTGTGTGTGAGAGGGTCAACAGAAGAAAATTTAAAGGGAAAGTGAGTGATACATTCTGGTGTGACTGCTGGGAGACTATACTGAAGTGCTTAAGCCTTGCCCTGGGAGGGGTTACCATGAATCTAATTAGTAATTGGATTACCATGAGAGAGAATGGTGTGAGGAGTGACTCACCTAAGTCTCACACATCAATCATAATAACTCAATTTGGGGTGACATTTTTTCTTCTCTTGAGTGATGTGAGAATGGTGTCAGTGCCATTGGACAGGGGTAAGAATTGACATGGATATTGAATCATGGTTCACGAGAGTGTTAACCAGCCTACATGATATCCTTATATAGTATTATCCATCAGAATACAGTACAGTACAGTATCCTTTTTAGCAGGAACAGTTGGTGCAGAACATTTCCAGCTTTGAGACAAATTTTCTTATCCCCGGATAGAATTGCACAGCTACGGAAATTTTGATGCATTGGTGAATGTTGCTGTGTCTAAACTATGCATCTGACACAGAGCACCATTGCTGGGAGGCTTAACTGCAGCCAGACTGACACAGAGCTACAGTATATTTATTTATGCAAACACTACTGTACACATACAGTACTGTATACAGTACAGTATTGTAAATAAAATATACTACTGTATACACTATACTGGACTTATCAGCAGATGCTGTCATCTTGAGCTTGTGATGCAGGCAGGCCAAATGGTGATATGATACAGGATGGCCAGCCTTTGTCTTGCACAATCTACTGTAGCAGGTGTTGCTAAATGTCACTCTCTTCTCCCTCCATGAAGGAGGGATTGTACATGCATTGTACACTGTACATATACCCTGTACACATTAGCCTACAGTAGGCATACACTGTCCACTCGGCTATATACAGTACGCACATATGGACCATGAAAAGTCATTGGTTAGTGAATCACTGGTTATCGAAGCAATTAATCCCATAAGAATATAACATTAAATAAGGAATGTAAAGCATAAATTGAGACTGTTATTTACCTGTGTTGAGGATGGTAGAGACAGTCTAGGGTGGCAAGTTCAAGTCTGTACCACTCTTTGCTGGTCCATCACCACTCTTATTACACCTTATCACATCACATCAAGCTGCCCCTAAGAGGAGCAGCACATAAGGAACTATCACTGGGATGTTTAGGCATGATTGCATATCACACGAAGTCGGAAATAACGAAAAAACACGTATTCGGAGACACACAGTAAGTGTTAACAAGTGTAGAGAGGCCGGAATGATTCGGAGGCAGTGTGCAGAGCCCTCTCATGGCAAGAATTTGCACCACGCCACTGCCCTCCAAATTCAAAACCGCTTTGCTGCTCTTCTGCTGATCGTTGGATCTCCGGGGTATCAACGAAACTTGTGGAGTATTTCCCCTATATGCAATCGGTGGTCAATGGGACGTCGGTTTTTGGGGTATACCTGTACAGTACACCTGACCCTTGCTTTATGATAGGGTTACGTTCTGTGAAAACCTCGCATAACTTGTAAGTGCTAAAAGTGAATTCTTAATCTTATGGGGAAATGGGGATATGTACCACAACCATTTCAGGTCAGGATATCGTAAATAGAGGTTTACCTGTATCTAGAGAATAAAACACTCTCTAGAAAATCTATGTCTCGTTGCTGGGTTGAGGAGCCGGTGTTTTCTATATACTATATTATATATTACTCAAAAGTCTAGTGAGGTTGGTTCTTGTTATAGGCATACTACTAGCCTTAACTGCTTCATTATGAATGGTTCACTTGCTGCCTCTTCCTGTATTTGTGCTAAAAAAAAAAATTTCTCCTTGAAGGTCAAAAGACAGTCATTACATAGAAGAAGGATTCTCAACACTTATCACCCTGAAGTTTGTTCACAATCACCCACTCAACTGTGCAGACACACTCAAGTACAGGAGAGTAACAAAGGCTACAGTCAGAAAGCTGGAGGACCTGTTCACTAATGGTCATTCCCCAAGATCAGCACTTGATATCTTGCAACATGAACTGCAGGAGGAGTATGGGGAGCGCTATCTTGAAGCCTCTGTGGATAGGGCCATCAACCCTGACATACACTTTTGCAACAGGTGCTGTAAAGCTGTCACAGTTTTATGCTTATTATTATTATTATTATTTTCATTATTGTTATTTTTATCATTATTATTATTATTATTATTATTATTATTATTATCATTATTATTATTATTATTATTATTATTATTATTATTATTATTATTATTATTATTATTATTATTATTATCATCATTATCATTATTATTACAGTATTATTATTATTTGTAAAATCCTGAGACCCACAAAATGCACAGTAGATGTTGGAGCTTAGGATTAATTGTCATTTGAGTATTAATTGTAAATGGCTTCTTTCTTTTCAGGCTCTACCGTACAATGTTCCGGAAAGACTATGATGCTCCAAAGGGTGAGTAGATGATTGAAGAGAGAATTTCTGAGTACAATGAAGCATAAGGAAGTGTGTGAACCAACAGTGATTGAACCACTGATGGCCAGATTAGTTTCTGTGCACACTCATTAAAGAAATGTCGTTTTTTAATGAGGGAGAGATGTTCACTCTGGAAGGCTTGATAGAATCATTGAGTGATTCTCTCTGTGCCTCAGTTAACCCTCTGGTATGCCTGGCCATGGTTGGAAATCTCATCCCCTCGCAGTCTTTCGACACAAATAACGTCGGTGACAGGAACGGTTTCTACATTTTAGTAAATATTGGGTAGAGTGATCCAGGCCCAAATTGCACCCTTTGAGATGCATCTGCCAGCTCATGAAACTAGTGAGTGGAACTTAAGTGGTTGATAGGGCTGGTTCACTGTTCCCTCGTTTCTGCTTATGGAGTGGGGGGGGGATACTCTCAGTGTGAGATACGGCTGAGTGGGAAGGTCAAGCCAGCACGGGAGTGCTAATGATGCAATCTGCATAAAAAAACCATGAGAAAGTTAAGTTCCTCTCCCTTGAGATTCCCGTGATGACTTTTGTGTGGCACATTACCATCATTGCCAGTTTTGTATTGTTCAAGTCTCTACTTTCAAAACAAGCTACCTGAGGTTGCATAGCAATGAGAGCACCTGCTCTCTGTGCCATATACCAAAAGACCTTACTGTTCTTATGTGCCTTTCTGTTCCTTCATACAAAATAGCTCTGGTTGTGGAAGGACATAAAAGGTATTCAAACAATACTGTATAGGCTTGTGTCACAGGACCTCATCAGTTATATGTATGATGCAGGCAGACAAGATGAGTACTGTATGATGTAAATGCATTCCTCTTGGGCACAGAAAAGACTCCTGGGCATTATGTTACTGATGGCTAAAATAACACTTGTCAGGAGTGACACCATCAGCTGCTTGTACGAGTCCATGTAAAGGTGAACATGTATCTCCAAATGACCACAACCCCTTCTTGTTCAAATAAGTAAATTATTATTATTATCAAACTTGTTTAAGCTCATAAGGGACTTGTCTTTGCCAAATTTCAAGAAAATTTGACTTCTTCTGGAACTACCCGGTACTGCATTTACATGAAAGATTACACTGACATAAGAAGCTTCCATGAGTCCATGGTATTCTGCAAACTGGTTTGGTGACAAGATTTTTCTATTACTGTACCTGGATGTCTTCTCATCTCCTTATTTGGTTTGGTTTTGAGCAGACTTGGAAATCCCACAACAGATGTTTGCTCGGTGAAGCAAATAACTACAGTACATGCTACTTCTGTGAAGTCAAGATATTATCCAAAAGAACACAGTTCACTTATGGTGTCTCCTCTGTAAGCATTTAGGTAGATTGACCTGACTCTGTGTTACCAAATTCTTAAAATTTTCTTTCGACCTGAAATAAAATTAGAAAAAATAAAGATTAGTTTCAAGTTTTCATTCTAGAATCCTTCAAGAATCTAACTGTGTGTGTGCGAGAGAGAGAGCATTGTGTCAGAGGCAGCCATCTTTGTCCCCTTAGTGGGAACTGCTGTGTGGTGGTGGGGGCTTGAAGTCCTGTTGATCTGATGCACCACACTAAGGGGGGGCTCGTCCCCCTTCCTCTTCATGGAAGAAAGGGCTTCCAATACTGGAAGGGTCATCAGGGAGGGATGAGACTAAATGGTTACCTTGAACTGCTAACCATGAGAGCAGGCTAGTAGCATCTTCCTCCAGCCCAAACCGCCAGTGATGGAGAGTAGCTCTCCTACGTGTTTGCTGTGTGTGGTAACCCGTAAGCGTTGATATGCAGCCCGGTTAAGTTAATTGGCAGCTCATTTGGCAAGGGTGAAGCGGGTGCCACAAAGCTGACACCCCATTCAGTCTCACGGGTGTCATCAGAATTGTGGTAGCCTGCATATACCTTCCCACTACCCCTGGGGCCAATGTATGGCTTCCCCTTGTTTGACTCTGTGGAGGGGTGAAAGCATGAAAAATAAAATTATGGCATTGACAATCACAAATTCCCTGTCTATTAATAACCCTAACGACCCTGGGTCATCGACAGACCACTCTTCAGAAACTCGCAATTCTCCTTCTGCCAGCAATGTTGCCGACCTCAGCTTAAACCCGGACTACTCAAAGGACTATGTGAATAAGTACTCAAGAATTGCCAGTGTAAGTCCTTATAGTTTACCCTCATCCGCTTCAAGGGTGGCCAGACAGCCCAAACCTGCCAGGCATTAAGCAGCTGTCACCCAATTACAGTGGTCCCTCGGTTAACGAGCACAATTCTTTCCAGAAGGCTGCTCGTTAACCGAAAAATTCGTTAACAGAAACCATTGTTTCAATGGGTTTTTGGGTAATTGGTTGCAGCTCACCGAAAATTGCCTTAGGTCAACAAAAAAGATAGTAAAGTACACTTACTTTGAGGTGTGTATGTAGAAGGCTCCTGGATGATGATGATGGGAATTAGAATGGGGGTGGAGGAGAAGGGAGAAGAGAAGGCATTGGGGTGGAACCCCATGGCGCCATTTCATCCATAAAATTTTAGTTCACTTGGTGTAATTCAAGATTATTTTCTTTAAATCAACACTGCACTGCATTATATATTGTCAATATGTAAAATAAATTTCAAATTGACCAATAATTTGCTTGGAAACACAGAAAAAAAGCGTTTATGTTGAAGAGAGTCTCAAGCAAGATGTTACCTCCACTGAAAAGACACAGAGACTGACACCTGTATGGTATGTTGACAGGCTGTTTGGCGTGCAAAAATCTAGCTTCCTATACTTCAATTATGTTCAATAATTAATTGTTAAAATAACAAAACAAATTTATATAAAATTTTAAAAATTATTTAATAGTACAAACTTCTTGATATTTAATAAAATAGTAAGGAATTTAAGCCCTAGAACCGATTACTGTATTGGCGGACTAATACTACAGCTGGTGGACCGCCAAATGCAAGCGAAAACATATGGAGGGATGCTCGTTAAAAACTCATTAATTGAGGAATTGCTCATTAACCGAAGTTAATAATCTTATGGAAGGTAATTCGTTAACCGAAATCTCGTTAACCGAGGGATCACTGTACAGCAATTGGTATGAATTTTCAGGAGAGAGAACCAGGTTGGGAGGCTTGGGGGTCTTTTTCCAAACATGAAGATGCCTTAAGTGCATCTGAAGCCATCCTCACCATGGAAGATGACAATAGGACTCTTAAGGGAACACCTGTTCCAAAAATCCCAACAGACCTGGACATTTATTGTCCAGCTGATTGGAGAACTTGCACAGTCCCAAACATTTCTGCATTAGGCACTCACCCACAGGTGTGAAACCCTTGAATGTGAGACCAGGGAATCTGAAGCAACAGGCAGATATTCATTTGTGTGGTTATTTAAATATTGTTCATTCATATTAATCTTTATGGTATACGTACAGTATTGTATTACAGTATATATTTTGAAGATGTCTTTGAAACACGCTAAGAATAATTTCCAACAAATTGTGGATGTATACCCTTGGTTGTTCATCACCTCGCCTCATGCCTGCAATTAGTACACCCCTCTCAAGGCCCCACACCCCCATTGTTTAGGTTTACAGGTGGTTTCATTATAACCTATTAATGTTTACATTAATATCAATAAATACCGGGTATATAAGAATGCTCTCATCTCTTACAACAGGTGATCTACTTCCTGTCATGTGCAGAATTGGGAAGGGAAAGGCAACAAAATAGCAGTTCTCTGGCGATAATTGCCTAACACCTCTTCCACCATGTTCACCTGACCGAGGGGAGGTAGGGAGGGGGTGAGGGGCAGGGTTACGGGTGCACTATCCTGGAGGTTTAGATGAGAGTGGACCCAATTTGCAGGCTTTAACTAATCTCGGTAATTATATATCTTAAATACAAGTGCACACCCATATTCTTAAATCTTAATCACCTCCCTCATTTATCCATCATATGCTGAAACAATACACTGTACATGGCAACTGCATCACCACAAAACTCCATAGTCTCACATTCATGGGGTTCACATTCGTGGATGAGTGTCTTATGTAGAAATGTCCGGGACTGTACCTCTACAAGCTCAGGCCGGACAATCAACACAGAGACACCCCAAAGCACCAAGGTGGTTGATTGTAACTGCCAGGACTGAGAGGTGCAACCTTACACTTAGGCTTCTCCAACATAAAGTTGAAGACATCAACAAGACTGACATGGGCCGTTTTGGGAAGAAATCGGTTCTTGTTCATGCCAAGTCTGACACTCAGTATTGCATGCTTAACATGATGAGACTGCAGCCAGATGGCATGATTAGGGACATTAAGTCACATGCAAATTTTAGTTAGGCGAAATGAATCGTTTTCAACACCTATTTGCATGATTTTTCAGATGAGAAGATTCTTGATACATTATGTGCGAGGACTGTGTATGGAAAGCATATAAAGTACATAGGACAAAGTCAGTGATAGTCTTAACATCTGTGACTCTGTCCTACCCTCTCACTTGATGTTTGACAAAGCATTAAGATTAGAAGTGCACTCATACAAATGAAGACCCATGCAATGTTACAACTGTTATGGATTTGGCCACTCTGCCAACATCTGTAAGAAAAACAAGATTTGTGGCACCTGTTCCGGTCCAGAACACTGTACTTGCTCCCTTAACGCTTAAGTTTATTAATTGTTAAAAATACCACAAACCTGTCAGTAGGAAAATGCTCTGAATATAAGATGGAAGAATCTGCTCTCTACAAGTCTCATGCAGAACACATTAGCATTGGTCAAATAATGGCCATGCCAATTTTTTGCGAAATAAAGGCAGGAAATATGCAGCTGTGGTTTCCGCTATAGTCCCTGCGGGTTCAGCAACCTTCCATCCCTTCCGCCCAAGTTGTTCCCTAACCAACCTTGCCTATCAATTACTCAACCCCAGCCTCCTTCCTTGCCAGCTCCTCCACCTACCTCCCTAACCCCATCCTCAACAGCTTCTGAAGTGGTGTCAGGCCTTGCCACTCAAGCTGTTCTCAACCCATTACCCACATCCAGAAATCCTCCCATGAGGAGGATGTCGTTGGAGCTACCTACCAAGTAGGTGGTGCTCCAACCCAATGACAAAGATGGCTTCAGTTCTCCAAAGAATCGGAAGAGGCCTCAACACCTTTGAAGCACTTCCCTCAGAGGATTGCCTTCAAACCACGTCCAACAGCCAAGTTGATTTAGAACCACATTTTTAACTCTCGTAATAATGGGGGACAGTATGTTGTTCATACCGACTCCCAAAGTGTTTCATCTTCACACACCCATTAGTCCAAGAAGTGCAGGAGCGGCTGGTCCTACTGCATTCTTGAAGACTGGCAGAGGTGTGTTTATGATGGGTGCCTGCACATGTGGGTCTTGAAGGAAATGAGCATGTTGACCTAGCAGCAAAAGAGACAGCTGGCTTCCCTTGTCCTATGAGTGACATAATATACAGTGGTCCCTCGGTTAACGAACACAATCCGTTCCAGCAGGTTGTTCGTTAACCGAAAAATTCGTTAACCGAAACCATTGTTTCAATGGGTTTTTGGGTAATTGGTTCCAGCTCACCGAAAATTGCCTAAATTCAACAAAAATGGTAGAAAAGTTTACTTACTTTGAGGTGTGTATGAAGAAGGCGCCTGGATGATGATGATGATGATGATGGGAATTAGAATGGGGGTGGAGAAGGAAGAAGAGAAGGCATTGGGGTGGAAGAGAAGTCACCCCATGGCACCATTTCACCCATAAAATTTTAGTTCTCTTGGTGTATTTCAAGATTATTTTCTTTAAATCAACACTGCACTGCATTATATATTGTCAATATGTAAAATATATTTCAAAATGACCAATAATTTGCTTGGAAACAGAAAAAAAGCTTTAGTTGAAGAGAGTCTCAAGCAAGATGTTACCTCCAGTGAAAACAGAGAGAGACTAACGCCTGTTTGCTGTGTTAAGAGGCTGGATGCCGCATTAAACTAGTCACTTTACCTTCAATTATGTTCAATAATTGTTAAAATGACTAAAAAATTGAATATTAAACTTTTAAAATTATTGAATAGTATAAACTTCTTGATATTTACTAAAATAGTAAGGAATTTAAGCCCTAGAACCGATTAATGTATTGGCGGACTAAATACTAAAGCTGGTCGACCGTCCAGTGCAAGCGAAAACAGGTTGAGGTCGGTTCGTAAGAAATTCGTTAACCGAATTTAAGAATCTTATGGGAGGCAGTTCGTTAACCAAAATTTCGTTAACCGAGGCGTTCGTTAACCAAGGGACCACTGTACTGTACTGTATATAGTACTACATAGTGACCTTTTGCTACTGGGAAGTGGCAAGAGCATTAGTCGTCCTTGACAACAAACACTAAACTGAGATCTATCAGACCTTTTATTAAACAATTGTGTTCCTCTTGTTTTCTCAACAGGAGAAGTGGTATTGTTTTAACGAGGTTGAGGATTGGCCACTCCCACCTCACATAATTATAAGTTTAAGAGTCGAGTTGAGCAACAGGCCCCTCCCTGCAACTCCTGACACACTGACCTAGCAGTTAATCATATCCGAGTTGACTGCAGTTCTTTTAATCTTCAAAGAAGAAAATTCCTTGAACAATAAATCCATCAACAAAACTTTAAATGATGAGGTAAATATTATTAATGTTAAATTAAAAAAAAAAAGATTGTTATGTTCCAGGTATAAGAGCAAATTCAAAGGATGAAATATTGTAAAATTCTGGAAAAATTTCAATCAACTGAGTCTCCAGCATATCTTGAGGACCAGGCGGGTTGACAGTCTTGTACTCAAAATGGAGAGGCACCTCCCTCATGAAGAGCATATTTTGTTTTCCTTTGTCCTCTTCGCCACTGATTGGCTCCTCACCCACTTAGGCGGCTGGTCACGTCTCTGTTATACACGGTTGGCAAGTACTGGCTCATGTAACTGGCCCCACGATTTATCTGTACCTGCTCCAGTGTTGGTCAAGTCTGGTCTTGAAAGAGCTCACACTCTGGTGCTGCCACAACACTCTGGGTTATATCCTATTTAACCATGGGGGTCGTGCCGGGCGTCAGGTGGATATGGTGGGGGGGACCAGTCATGACTGGCAGTGGGGACCTGCTGGTGTTGAATGCGGTAGACGAAAAGTGCGTGAGTAGCCATGCCTCCAGCCTGGCCACATTCTCCTCCAAAGGAGGCAAGGGTATCTCAACTGGCCTTGGCGGGAAACGGCTGCTCTCAGGTAAAGGGTTCGGAGGTAGATCGTCGGCAGTGTGCCGCTCCCCTCCATCGCTCACGGCAGCCACAGCACGTCTATGGAGCGGGAAGTCGACAGGCACCAAGTTGAGGCACTTGCAGGCCTCCAATGACAGATAGAGGGCCTTGACTGTCTGCACGAAGTAGACCTCCTGGACGGTGGACCCCTCGTCCACACCGAGGCGGCAGGGGGCGGACCCCAGACACTTTAGCTGTTTGTTTGCCACGTCCCTTAGGCCATTACGGGCCCGAAGTTGCCCCGGACACAAACCGATGTCCCGGAGCAGGGATGCGCCTGCCACACACACCATAGCACCGTGTCAGCTACAGCCAGCACAGGGGTGGCGGGGGAATTGCCCCCGGCCTGGGACACGAACACTTGTAACCTGGGGTGGTGGGATAGCTGGGCTGTTGCCACTGTAACAGCGCCTGACACATCCACAGGAGCACTTAGGGCTGACTTACTCCTACAACACCTTTTGAAGTGACCAACCTTACAGCAATTGCGACATGTAGCCCCACTTGCAGGGCAGTTACTTTTACCAGAGGCATGTGACATGCCGCAGTTACCACAGTGCGCGCGATTGGGGTGTCCAGGTCGGGCAGCAGCTACCTTGGACTCACCGGTGACGTCATCACCAACCGCCACTGCCTCCGCGGCTGTTCCCACCACTGCCTGGCCAGACGTACGACACAATACACCAGCATCTCTCACTGCTGCCTCAAATAACATGCATTTGTTTCTAAGCACTTCAACACTATTATAACTAGAGTACCCCTGGAAAATTTCCCTTTTCAACACTGGGTTACTCAGGCCCACCATAACTTTACGTAATAGCATGTACTCAGAGAGGTCGTTATCACAGGTGGGACATTTAAATTCACACTCCACTGCCTCTGCGAAGCATCGTTGAAAATACCTTTTCATGGGCTCCTCTTCACCTTGTTTGCTGTTGAAAAACTCGTTCCATTTCACAGCTTGGTTTGAAGATTGAAGAACCATTCCACTGATGGCGTCCAGGGCTTCTTTGGGCGAGAGCTGCTCCCACTGACCGCTGGGGTATCTCGAGTCAATCACCCTTTGGAGTGCAGGGACGCAGTTCAGGCGAATGTGGAGTGTGGCCACCAGTTGTGACCACCCGTTCAACAGCACCCATGACTCCATGGACCACCTCCATGTCCTAAACGCAGCTGCTGGCATTTCTGCCTCACACTTTTCTGGTGCGACAGCTGCTGAGGGCTTCATGACCGGCATAGAAGCATGACCACCGCCAGCAACTAGAGACGCCATCTGAGCCATCAATGCACTCATGGCCTGCTGCTGGGCGCGCATGGTGTTCCCCACCGGAGAGAAGCCCTGGCGTCCCCTTGAGGGCGTCGAGAATCGTGGACGTGTAGGGGCCATGTCAGCGTTCTTATCAGGGCTGTAATGGCGTGTCGGGCCCCGACATATCCTACTCACTGCGCCATATGAGAGGTTGGAGTCATAGACCACGTTCTTTGTAGACTTTATTCTAACAGCGTCAGCTGGTGACTGGCAACCGGGCGCTGCCAAAGACAAACCCCCATCTCAACATGGGAAAACATATCGTACGATGGTACAATCTTACAGCAACTTAATTGTTAGGTCTTATAAGAAGGTCGTTCAGGTATCTTAGAAGATCCCTCCCTCCTAATGACCTTCAAGAGTGAAGTGCGTCCCCGTCTGGAGTACTGTCTCCCCGTCTGGTTCCCAAGATATGCTAGGGACTGTCAGTTAATTGAAAATGTCCAAAGGAGGGCCACCAGACTAGTGCCTCACTACGGCACCTCAGCTACCCTGAGAGATTGGAGCGCCTGAACTTGCCTAGCTTATACTACAGACGGGCAAGGGGAGACCTAATTGAGGTTTATAAGCATCTCAAAGGGCACTACTCAGCCGAGTGCCCTTACCAGGAGCTGGCGGACACTCGCCCTACAAGTGGTCACGGTTCAAGGTTGAAGAAGCCGCAAGCCCAGAAACTGTGAGGTGTAACTTTTCCGGAATGAGAGTTGTGAACTCTTGGAACAATCTGCCAGAGAGTGTTGTGACGGTACCGAGTGTGAATTCTTTCAAGACCAGACTTGACCAACACTGGAGCAGGTTCAGGTGCATTCAGGAGCCGGTGCATGCCCAGTAACTTGCCAACAGTGCGTAACAGAGACGTGACCGATCGCCCAAGCGGCTAACGAGCCGATCATTTGGTGAAGAGGATAATAGAAGGAAGGGTAAGATTCTTCGGTAAACGTTTTGTAAGGAAATAGTTAGCGACTCCTGTTGTCAAAGGTGACCCCACTTTTAGTTTAATTAATTGACCCAGTAAAAGTAAATGTTAATTGTAGCTTAAAAAAAATCGTGGACAGGTAACGTGCATATCTCATCATTGTGTCCCGAGTTCGATTCTCGGCCCGTGTCTGATGTAAACTGGGACTATCTACGGCTAGTGAGGTGAACTGATGAAGACAAAATTTACCCCCATCTTACATCTCGTTAATAAAATAATCATACAGTAGAATTTGCAACACGATTAATATTGCGAGATAATAGTACAGTATAAGCTAGACCGGTGTGTATTGCTTTATTGCTTCCAATATGAGTCATTTATGCTTGATTTTGCTGACTCTATTTAACTGTCCCCCCAATTATCCCTGAGGCTATACGGAGTTGGATCAGTAACAGGACTCTCAAACCTATATAAGATGATCTCCACACACGTCCTGAACCCTCTACCGTGTTACATCATAAGCGATACAATCCTACACACCGATGCTCTTCCGTCACTGGCCACCACGGGAGTGTTAGGAGAGTATTTGGTTCTTTAACTTATACACGACGTCTAGAAGAAGGATAATCTGAATTTCTTCTTTATGTTGAAATAATAGAAATAGAGAGAAAATACAAGTGTATATAATAAACTTAATCATAGAGTTTACTAAATAGAGGCCTAATGGTGGGTGACAGTTACGGTTGGCTGTGGAACAACCCCCTGACACGTGAAGTAGCCCGCTGTCCTAAGAGGGTTGGTGACTTGATCTGGTCAGAGAAGAAGGTAAAAATAATCACTTTTACTTTTATATTCTATTACTAATTTGGTAATGTCTGAGAACACCATTACCACCACAAGTTGTTTGATTGGCCGGTGTTTAATATGACGGGGGTCCCTCTCTCCCCCGACTAGGAAGTTAGGTTAGGTTAGGTAAGGTAGGCTTCTTGGTTAGGTTAGGTTAGGTAGGCTTCTTGGTTAGGTTAGGTTAGGTAGGCTTCTTGGTTAGGTTAGGTTAGGTAGGCTTCTTGGTTAGGTTAGGTTCTCGTAAATGTTGCCTCTTTTATAATGATACGAACATCTGTGAAAAAATTGAACAAAATGGAACAACTCCTCCTGGTGGTAGTGGTGTTCTCAGACATTACTGTATTTATAACCCGGTCCGACTAATTACCCAAATGTAGCCAAATATAGCCGGAATGAAGTCAAATAATGGTCCTAGATGAATAAATCGGACTGCTAATCACTTCTCGACTAGTATTTGGTGTCAGTCACAAAAAATTGGTAAACTTAATTTAATCTGAGTTAATAGATCAAGTGCATGTACCTAACCTAACCTAACACAACACAACTCAGATTAAATAAAGTTTACCAATTTTTTTTTACTTTATGACACCAAATAATAATCGAGAAGTGATTCACAGCCCGAATTACGCTTGTACGACCATCATTTGACTTCATTGCGGCTACATTTGGGTAATTACTCGCTCTGTCGGTACATGCAAGCGATCTATTAACTCATATTAAAGTAAGTTTTCCAATTTTTTGTGACTTTCTGACACCAAATACTAGTCGAGAAGTGATTGGCAGTCCGATTTATTCATCTAGGACCATTATTTGACTTCATTCCGGCTATATTTGGCAACATTTGGGTACATTTGGGTAATTAGTCGGACCGTTTATAACCGTCTTACAAGTTAGGTCAAGTTTTCAAGGGCTTGTTTAGTGTTCTTTTATTGTTATTTTGCCCCACATTATTCCTCTACTGCCCACATTTAACAACCTATATTGTTGGTAATTGGGGAGGTCTTGTCGGTTAAAATACTCGAAAAATATAAATTTGCGCTGGAAATGTAATAGAATATATACTTTTTTTTTTCTCCCTATATAAATAAAAATATTTAATTCTGTGTTCGACCTAAAACTTTTCTTCACCTCTATTTTTTTTAAAAGTTTCCATGCACAACAGAAACATGGCTAGGTATATTTACAGCTACCGGTACACAGCAATTGGCTCACGGTGAAATAAATGCCAAATGCTGCCAGTCACAGTAAAAAATAGTTATCTCGTTGTTTGCCGGTAATGGACGATCAGCCAATCAGAATGCACTTATGGTAAAATAATGTTTGTAGGAACTTAGCTGGTCACGGCAAAATATCCTCTGCCGAGTATTTTAAAGGAGGCAGCGGTAATGTCTGAAAACAGTACTACCACCAGAAGTTGTTGTTTCATATTGTTACCGAGGTGACAGTTACTAGAACCTGACCTTACCAACCAAAAAAACCTACCTAACTTCCTCGCCGGGGGGCGCAGCTTACACTGTATTGAACAGAGTGTACTGTACAGTACTTAAGGTTGATATTTAGTGAGAAAGAGAAAAAATATTCTATACCGTTTCCATAGGAAATTTATATTTTTCAATTACAGTATTTTAACAAATAAAATTAGTAATTAAATTACCCTTATTTTGATATCTGGTACCAATGAAAATGTCATGGAGTAATTTAAATTTTTTGTGGACGTGAGAGTACGCTCGGACCGAGTGGGTTGGTTGTAAACAAACTGAGCAGATGAAAACACATTCTGACTCAGCTTTTTTTATTTATTTTTTTTAAAGGAGTATTTACTGTAAATAATTAATTTCTTTGGTAATTTCTAAGAACAACACTCTCACCAGAACGAATTAATCAATTTTGATCATTGTTTTTACAGATGTTCTTATCATTATAGTAAGTATTATAAAAGAGGCAACAATTGTTTATTTTAATTACTGTACAGCTCCTCCCCGACTTACGACGGGGTTAGGGACCCAAATCCAGGTCGTAAGTCGAATTGGTCGTAAGTCGAAAATGCGAATATAATACAGTACATAGAAAATCTAAAATGGGTGTCTCTTTTTCTTCTCAGCACCACAAAACTCCCACTTTTAAGCTTGCCAGCCATTTTAAATGGAATCACAAAAAAAGTTTTTGTCAGCACACAGCACAATCACTAACGTCGTGACTCAAAAATACGTAATTTGAAAAAATTTTGGTACGACAGAGGTGGTCGTATGTCCAGGTGGTCGTAAGTCGAGGAGTACCTATACTATACTAGCTGGGAAAAGTAATGATTTTTTTGTGGGGGGGATGTAAAAGGGTATCAAATGTTGAGCTAAAAGAGCAATTGGTAAAAGGATAAAACTGTACTTAATGACTTTGGTGCACCTTCACCACCACTTTCAGGAAATTTTTTGATGTTAGGTAAAAACTTTCTCAACTCTAGAAAGTGACAGAATTACAGAGGGAATAAAGTTTGCATACTGTATTATATACAGTACAGTAATTTACAATTATTTACATCTGGTAGGTTATGCTGACAAACTCCCTGTGTCTGCCAATATTTGTTTCTGATCCAAGTTATTTTCATAGAATTTATAGTACTGTACAGTACGGTTTATATTTCTTTAGATGAATAAAATACATAACAAGATAACTTTAGTATTTTAGGTCAACTTATATTAGTTTAGGCAATTTTGGTTTAAAAAAAAAAATTATATGAAAATAACTATTCACTCAGAAACAAAATTGTCGGTGTTACTTACCACACGTAAATAATCATAAAGTTATACTATAGTATTGTGTAATCTGCATTCCTCGTAGACATATTTTTTATTTTGTGTTAAGAAAGCTTTTACAGTATCCTCTATGGATAAATTTCCTCAAGTTGGTGCTAAGGGTGTGCCACAGTCATCAGTTATTACTGTTAAGATTACAGAAGAGTTCCACATTAATAAATGGAAAAGACTAACCTCAAAAGTTATTGTGAAGTTAATGGTATAGCTTAGAATACTTGATATTAACCTATTCAATGCAGCTGGTCTGAAATTTTAGTGTACTGTACAGTACTGTACTATAAGTGTGGCACTTTTAAAACAGCGAGTTTCCAATCCAGAGGTGGACCTTTCCATGTGTGTGACCTGTTTTCATTGAATGGTTTGTTTTATTTGAATTTTTGGTTGTCAAGAGGATCTTGCCTGCAGGGATCATCTTTGTCTCACATGCTTTCAACTCAGTCATGGGACTAGGAGTTCAGACCCTGTTTGATGGGTCAAGAGCAGCTCTACAGTATCATGATTCACTTCATACATTTAGTTTTTAAGTGGGATTTCTAATTCAATCTATATTTAGTGTATTGTACTGTTCTGTATTATTAAAAAAATTCCATTTGTTTTCAGGGAAGCAGTATTCAACAAGTGACTCCCCTGCTGGTTGATATGCTGAACATTCCCTCATATGCACGCTGGTTTGTACGTATTGCTGGAATCTCGGGTGCCACAGCAGTGGCACTTGGTGCTTACGGTGCTCATGGTGAGTAAATACTGTAGGCCCTGTGTTGATTTCTCCTCCTCTAAATAAATATCTGTGTGTACTGTATAGAACTTTTGCCCTGACATCATAGATGCCATAATAGCTGTTGGTATCCACTGTCTTGGGGCACAACAATGTTGTTGTTTTGAGTGATCAGCGAGTGAGAATTGTTATGAAGCCTGTAATAAAAGAAGCATGGTAAGTGCTATAAAAGGCTCATTCACACTTATAACAGCCTAATGTGCATAATGTAGGAAAAAGATATAAAGAAGTTGGGGCATTTGGTCTCAAGTGATCTGTATGGAATTCCAAGAAATAAGTGGCTACATGACTTTGAGAAATGGTCGTCGATCTCATACATTCACATTGGCATGTCCTTGCTGTTTTTGCCAAGCCTGTACACTAAAGAGCAGCTAGTGAACTACAAAAGCCTTGGCTGCTATGAGAAATTTGCCAGTGGATGGGTAAAGAAGGTTCTAATGAAGGAGTCGGGTATAAACGGCTTATGATCGCAAAGGTAATTTCACTGTTCGCAGCAACCATGTTTGTTCAATATATTAATTCAAAATCTTTACAACAATCAGATGTTTTATGCCTCAGCAGTCTCATTTCTCTTTCTGTTCTCTCAGCACTGTAATGAACTTTCATATAATTCTCCCCAGCTTTTTTTTATGGATTCATATAGTGTGGATGACTTCCCTGCAAGAATGAAATATATGTAACATAACTTTAAGGATCACTGTCAGATCACAGCTGGCAAAGGTTTGTGTGTTTAAAAAAATAATAATAATAAATATACTATATAAATATATATATATATATATATATATATATATATATATATATATATATATATATATATATATATATATATATATATATATATATATATATATATATATATATATATATATATATATATATATATATATATATATATATATATATATATATATATATATATATATATATATATATATATATATATATATATATGCTGATAACCACAAGGAGAAGAAAACACGAAGTTCCCAAGCGCTGTAATTCACATCTTCAGGGTGAGTACAGACTAGAGAGAGTAATACAAATCAAGGTGTATATATACAGAGGAGGTGAGACCAGGTCACAATGGTAGGTATATATATATATATATATATATATATATATATATATATATATATATATATATATATATATATATATATATATATATATATATATATATATATATATATATATATATATATATATATATATATATATAAATATATATATATATATATATATATATATATATATATATATATATATATATATATATATATATATATATATATATATATATATATATATATATATATATATATATATATATATGAAAATGTGTGTGTGTGTGCGCGCGTGCGTGCGTGTATTAATAATAATAATAAACGGTTTACTGTATTAATAGAGTTGCAGCCAGTGGCTGAAAATATACAAACTTATGTGTGTGTGTGCTTGCGTGCGTGAGAAGAAATATTACACTCATTAGTCATTTGGGGAAATAATTAGAAATAATAACACAGAATGTGTTGTGAAGTGCTTGTGTCTATAGCAAAATTAAAAATGTGTTTAAAATATGTTTGGGAATATTAGAAGGTTGTGAGGACAGAGATTTGGTTATTTTTCATTAAAAAACTGTTACACTGTACTGTACTGTATGTACTGTACTGTACTGTACTGTACTGTACTGTACTGTACTGTATACTATATTGGAAAGAAAGATGTCCTGTTTGATCTCTTGTGGCTAAGGCTTTTTTATTTTCCTTCCTCAGTATTTTACCGGCGAGAATATCCTGAGGAACTGAAGCAAGTATACGAGACTGCCAATCGTTACCACTTCCTACACACCTTGGCCTTATTGGGTGTACCTCTGTGCAAACGACCCAAACTGGTTAGTTTTTTCCCCACAGTTATGCAACAAGGCAGGAACAAAGGCATACACAGGCACTCTTCATTTTCTTAATGTTGTAATATACTTTTATCATTCACTTACTTGTGGGAGAACGGTTTCAGAGCTACCTGCTTTGAGGAGGTCAATAATTTTATCTCTTAGAGTGGACTAGTCTAAAGCAGAATCTGCAATTCTTAGTGAAAAATGAAGACTCCTAGTTTTTACCAGACAAAATGAAGCTCTTATCCTGGGTTTCCTGTCAGGGGTGATGAGTCTCACTCAGCAGAACTCAAATATAAGTCATATATTTCATAGCATGCGTATATCATAGTACGAACAGGTAATACGAAAACCAATCTTAACTACGTATAGTTATTTATTTATTGATAGGAGCATACAATGTATGACTCGGTGAAGAGGGTAGGAAGTTGGTAGTGAGGTCAGGTTCCCGAGGTCACTTGGACACAGCATCAGGTGAGACTTGACCATAAATGACCTGAGAAAGTTCAATAGTTATGATAATGTGAATTTAGTGAGGTCATTTACTTAAAATACACCATTTACTTTTATCGAACAATTTAACAAATAAGGCATGAGGTTGGGTCAGCTGTCTTGTTGTTTTATGAATATTGTGTCTAGTTTGAACTCTGTTATGTTTGGGGAGGCACACCACCCATACCCCTCCTTGCTACAGGCCTGAGCACTTGAAAATTGAGATTGCTTCTCACCATTTACTTTGTTCAGTAATGACATTTCATTGTTACAGTAGGATATCTTAGGGTTACAGATCATATAAATCAACATTAGAAAAAAAAGTTTATTTTATATTAAAGTTATCTTTTAATGTAGATTTGATTTGCAAGCCTATAACATTATTGTACAAGTCATTAAGCTACCAGAACTGGGCTCCATTCCTTGAGCTTATGATCAAGGCCATTGTGTGGTCATTACCCTCATAATAAGACTGTTCTTAGTCATTTTTGTGAAGAGGGAGTTTGCTGTTATTTAATCCTTTATTAACTATTACAGTACCTTGAAAAGTACAATGTTATCCAAGGATTAACAGATTAATTTTAATTGCCATTGAGATCCCCTGTCTTAGGACCAAAGTGCCCACTATATTATTTCCATGGTAACCTGACCCGTAAGTCACGTCCCTCTTCTATAAGAATAGCCGATTGGTTCAAAGAAAATGTTCGTGGAGCTGTCCATTTATTCAAACTAAACAATGCGTAAAGAAGACGCTTAAATTCACTATGGTAATGATATTTTTTCATAAATTGGGCCAAAAAGTGTCAAAAATAAGGGTTAAAGCTGCTAAAAAGTCACGTGACTGCGAAAATATCTGTGATTGGTTGTGACGTCACTGACTAATGCGAGCCGCAGAAAAGGGGGTCTCGAGGCAGCTAGCTGTGGTTTACGTGTTGTTACCAGCAGAAATACAGGACTTGTGGCCATATACAATGTTGATATACACAGGCATACCTTATTTTTAGGTTAAAATAATTTACTTCTCAAGTATCATCGTGTGTATTTACTTGCTGGGTGCCAAAATGATGCAAAAGACCGATAACTCCAACATGAAAGTTTCCATCACTGTTCTCTATTTCATGTCTGGAAAATGTAAGTTTTCGTCACTGGTGTCTATATTTAATGTGGAAGGACTAGGGATGACCATGGCCAGGGGATGGGTTTGAGATGGTCAGATTACAGATTTAATTTAACGTGCTTCATAGCTGGGTGGCGGAGTTCTTGATAATAATCTACAATCGTAAAGACTACTTTTGGTAAATTTCTTTCATCTGCCTTGATGAACCCTGGAAGTAGTTGTCCCACCTTCTTGGCTGATTGGCTCTATAAATAAATATTATTAGATAATTAATTGTGCTTTACTGTGCAACACAGTAATACTATATTGAATATATAAATATTAGTAACCACATCAACTAATTCAGTGGATATTTTCTGCCCCTACTACAAATTTCATAGTATAAACATTCCAAAAAATATTGGAATTACAGTATTTTGGTTTTGGTCATCTGGGGAACCTTAAGATTCTAACTATGGGATTAAGTACTTTAAACAATAAGACACATTATCTCTACGGGATTTTTGTCGCAAAACATTTTTCGATCGCATAAGAAAATACAGGTCATAGGTTAGGTTAGGTTAGGGTATGATGAGTTATATTATAAGTTATAAGATTAGCTTAACATACACCGGTGGGGGGGGGGGGGTAGTAACTCAAAACTAGTGATTTCCGATAGAAATGAAGGCCTAAATCGTTCATAACACATCCACAAGACATCAGAAAAACATACTCTGCATGTCTTATGTACAGGGATGACCAAAACTTAAAATTTACCCAAGATTACTTATCTGGAATCTAATCATCCAAATAGTTAAGGCAGTTAAAGTAAAATTTTAACCATTAATTAATATAAATGATTATTTATCCCAGCGGTTCATTAGTGAATCATCAAAACAATAACAGCACTATGTTGTCTTATTTAACTAGCATTAGGAATTCTCAAAACAAAGTCCAGACAATGTCATTACAGTAATATCTTTGTTAGCTGGAATCCCATAACCCGGAACTCTCCAATAGCCGGAATTGAAATTTTCCTCGATATCCACACCCCTCCTTCATTCCCCCCATCCCCACATCCCTCCATGCCCTACATACTCACACCCCTCCTCCATGCCCTCCCTCCATGCCCACACCCCTCCTCCATGCCCACACCCTCCTCCATACCCCCCCCTCCTCCATACCCACACCCCCTCCTCCATACCCCACACCCCTCCTCCATACCCACACCCCTTCTCCATACCCACACCCTCCTCCATACCCACACCCTTTCCTCCATAACCACACTACACAACCCTCCTCCATACCCACACTACACATCCCTCCTCCATACCCACACCCTTTCCTCCATACCCACACCCGTCCATACCCACACCCCTCCTCCATGCCCACACCCCTCCTCCATGCCCACATCCCTCCTCAATGCCCACACCTTCCATACCCACATCCCTCCTCCATGCCCACATCACTCCTCAATGCCCACATTCCATCCTCCATACCCACATCCCTCCTCCATACCCACACCCCTCCTCCATGCCCTTTATACCCAAACCCCTGTATAAACATTTGGATATACACATTAAAACAATTATTTTCATTGTCCACTATTTGTAAAATGTCTTTCAACGCACTTTGTATTATGTACAACTAATACACATCTCTATTGTTTGAACAGGCTGGAGCATTAATTGCAACTGGAACAGCAATCTTCTGTGGCACTTGCTATTACTATGCACTTACTGGATCCAAGAATGTGAGGCAGTATACTCCCTACGGCGGAATGTTATTGATTGTTGGCTGGTTATCTATGGCCCTGTAGGAATAATTTGTATGGTTATTGTAAAAGTATAGTCTTCGATGGGTGGATCAGGAATTTGTAGGTTGAATTTATGAGTAGTTGAAGAATTACTTTCACCATGAAGTTATGAATTACCAATAATGACTGAGGTACCACTGTGCTTACTTTTACCGCTCCTCCCCCCCTTATAATGCTTTTATACATACTGTATAGTCTATATCAGATAAGTTAGCGATTATGTAAATACTTTATTGATTTTTATACAGTATTGGAAATTCTAAAGGTTATTTTGATCATCTGATCCAACGCTCCTTCAAACATGCACATAGCTGATCATACTGCTATTTCTTAAGCACTTTAATTTTATTTTACTGCATTATAACATAATTTGTGTAGAAATTGATACTAAAAAGATTATATTTTTTGGAATTGAATTGTTTTTCTTCATAGATCCACATACAGTTCTGTAAGTAGTTCTGTCTTGTAGAAGATATTGAAGTGAAAGTATTTTCAGAGGGCAATGAAATAGCCATGTATTTCTGTATCATCAGCTTATCATCACATTGTTCACATTGTTCATGAAGAATAAAAAAAATGCTTCGAGAATTATATGTTTAGTGGTTTTATCCTCTCTCTCTCTCTCTCTCTTCTCTGAGGAAAATTCCCATTTTCTATGATGAAATTCTCGCCCCTTATCCATGCCTTTCATACCCACACCCCTCAACCATGCCCTCCATATCCACACCCCTCAACCATGCCCTCCATATTTACACCCCTCAACCATGCCCTCCATATTTACACCCCTCAACCATGCCCTCCATATCTACACCTCTTCTCCACGCCCTCCATACCCACACCCCTCCTCCATGGTATGGAAGAGGGGTGTAGGTATGGAGGAAGGGCGTGGGTATGGAGGAGTGTAGGTATGGAGGAGAGGTGTGGGTATGGAGGAGGGGTGTAGGTATGGAGGAGAGGTGTGGGTATGGAGGAGGGGTGTGGGTATGGAGGAGGGGTGTGGGTATGGAGGAGGGGTGTAGGTATGGAGGAATGGTGTATGTATGGAGGAAGGGTGTGTAGTCATGGAGGAGGAAGGGGAAGGATGGCAATACAAGATTACAAATACTTAAGTGAGGAGCTGAGATGGCTGACGAGTAAGGCTGAGTATTGTAGAAGACGGTAGGTAGTCACTGTGCCGTAGGTTTAGAGGATAGATGATCCTGTGGTCACTTCCCAGAGTGTAGTGCTCTCTCCTCGAATTGGAGCTCACAAAGAAGACTTGGAGGAAGTGACGCAACAACCAGGATATGGAGAAGGTTAACCCCGGAGTGGTAACTAAGACGAGTCATACTCGTGTCTCGTCCCTAGATGGCGTTGCTCGTGGTGCTGGGTAGGTAGATCAAGACAATAGATGGCGTGGTTCGTAGTGCTGGGTGGAGGGGTTCGTAACACCACCCAGAGGCAGCCAGGAACGTGGATCCTATCCAGATAAGGTGGTGGCCCCTGGGACCCTCCAGGTGCGTCGGTGACCCTTCCAAAGGCGGCTGGGACTCATTGGACCCTCCCATGGACGGCGGCCCCCCCTAGAATCATTGCATGGATTGCGGGGGCCCCAGGAACCCTCATAGGGGCGGCAGGGCTTCTGCAACCCTCCGAGAAGCGACGATTATACTAAGGACCCTCCCAGGGGCGGTGGAGGCCCGCAGTACCTTTCCAGGTGTGACAGCGGCACTAGGGACCCTCCTAGGGTAGGCGGGACCCACTGAGACACTCCCAGGGACGGGAGGGGGCGCTGGGACCCTCCAGGAGCAGTGGGGCCCCTTGGGACACTACAGGGGCTGCACGTCCAGGGGCCCTATAGCATACCTGGTTGTGCCTAGGTATATATTTTATACGTCCATCAGTTCCTTAAATGTGATTGGTGGACTAAAATATCTACCCACCAAATTACAGCCAATAGGAGAAGAGAGCAGTCAGTCAGCACAACACCCCAACTTATGTTTTCCTGTTGGATATTATTCTCCATTCCGTTGTTAAGGATGCTATAATACTGGAAATGTGATAATGGCGATGTAGTTGCATCTCCCAGCATTATAAATAACACAAAAACAACTGCCCCCAGAGACCATACAGGGCAAGCGCTCTCAAACCTCCAAGGTGCGGCAGGGAACATCCTAGGAGTGGCTGGGGCCCTTGGGACCCACCCAGGGGTAGCAGAGGTCCCAGGGACCCATCCCAGAGGCAGCTAGTGACCTGGTTCTCACCCAGGTAAGGTGGTGCCCCCCTGCGACCCTCCCAGTTGCGTCGGGGACCCTTCCAAAGGCGGCTGGGACTCATTGGACCCTCCCAGGGACGGCAGCGCCCCCTGAAATCATCACATGGATTGCGGGGACCCCAGGAACCCTCATAGGGGCGGCAGGGCCCCTGCAACCCTCCCAGAAGCGGCGAGGGTACTAAGGATCCTCCCAGGGGCGGTGGAGGCCCGCAGTTCCTTTCCAGGTGTGACAGCGCCCCTAGGGACCCTCCCAGGGTCGGCGGGACCCGCTAAGACACGCCTAGGGACGGGAGGAGGCCCTGGGACCACCTAGGGGTGATGAGGGCCCTTGGGACATTCCAGGGGCCGCACTTCAAGGGGCCCTATAGCATACCTGGTCGTGCCTTGGTACATATTTTATATGTCCATCAGTTCCTTAAATGTGATTGGTGGACTAAAATATCTACCCACTAAATTACAGCCAATAGGAGAAGAGAGCAGTCAGTCAGCACAACACCCCAACTTATGTTTTCCTGTTGGATATTATTCTCCATTCCGTTTTTAAGTATGCGATAATACTGGAAATGTGATGATGGGCGATGTAGTTGCATCTCCCAACGCTCTAAATAACAGAAAAACAACTGCCCCCAGAGACCATACAGGGCTGACGCTCTTAGGGAACCACCCACGTGCGACAGGGAACCTCCTAGGAGTGGCCGGAGCCACTTGGGACCCGCCTAGGGGCAGCAGAGGCCCGAGGGACCCACCCAGAGGCAGCCAGGGACCTTGGTCTTATCCAGATAAGGTGGTGCCCCCTGGGACCCTCCAGGTGCGTCGGTGACCCTTCCAAAGGTGGCTGGGACTCATTGGACCCTCCCATGGACGGCGGCCCCCACTGGAATCATCGCATGGATTGCGGGGGCCCCAGGAAACCTCATAGGGGCGGCAGGGCCCCTGCAACACCTCCGAGAAGCGACGATTGTACTAAGGACCCTCCCAGGGGCGGTGGAGGCCCGCAGTACCTTTCCAGGTGTGACAGCGCCCCTAGGGACCCTCCTAGGGTAGGCGGGACCCACTGAGACACTCCCAGGGACGAGAGGGGGCCCTGGGACCCTCCAGGAGCAGTGGGGCCCCTTGGGACACTACAGGGGCTGCACGTCCAGGGGCCCTATAGCATACCTGGTTGTGCCTAGGTATATATTTTATACGTCCATCAGTTCCTTAAATGTGATTGGTGGACTAAAATATCTACCCACCAAATTACAGCCAATAGGAGAAGAGGGCAGTCAGTCAGCACAACACCCCAACTTATGTTTTCCTGTTGGATATTATTCTCCATTCCGTTTATAAGTATGCGATAATACTGGAAATGTGATGATGGGCGATGTATTTGCATCTCCCAGCATTATAAATAACACAAAAACAAGTTCCCCCAGAGACCATACAGGGCTGGCGCTCTCAGGGAACCTCCAAGGTGCGGCAGGGAACATCCAAGTAGTGGCTGGGGCCATTGGGACCCACCCAGGGGCAGCAGAGGCCCCATGGACCCATCCCAGAGGCAGCTGGTGACCTGGTTCTCACCCAGGTAAGGTGGTGCCCCCTGCGACCCTCCCAGGTGCATCGGGGACCCTTCCAAGGGCGGCTTGGACTCATTGGATCCTCCCAGGGACGGCAGCGCCCCCTGAAATCATCACATGGATTGCGGGGGCCCCAGGAACCTTCATAGGGGCGGCAGGGCCCCTGCAACCCTCCCAGAAGCGGCGAGGGTACTAAGGATACTCCCAGGGGCGGTGGAGGCCCACAGTACCTTTCCAGGTGTGACCGCGCCCCTAGGGACCCTCCCAGGGTCGGCGGGACCCGCTAAGACACTCCCAGGGACGGGAGGGGGCCCTGGGACAACCTAGGGGTGGTGGGGGCCCTTGGGACATTCCAGGGGCCCTATAGCATACCTGGTTGTGCCTTGGTACATATTTTATACGTCCATCAGTTCCTTAAATGTGATTGGTGGACTAAAATATCTACCCACCAAATTACAGCCAATAGGAGAAGAGAGCAGTCAGTCAGCACAACACCCCAACTTATGTTTTCCTGTTGGATATTATTCTCCATTCCGTTTTTAAGTATGCGATAATACTGGAAATGTGATGATGGGCGATGTAGTTGCATCTCCCAGCGCTCTAAATAACAGAAAAACAACTGCCCCCAGAGACCATATAGGGCTGACGCTCTTAGGGAACCACCCACGTGCGACAGGGAACCTCCTAGGAGTGGCCAGGGCCACTTGGGACCCACCCAGGGGCAGCAGAGGCCCCATGGACCCACCCAGAGGCAGCCAGGGACGTTGGTCCTATCCAGATAAGGTGATGCCCCCTGGGACCCTCCAGGTGCGTCGGTGACCCTTCCAAAGGCGGCTGGGACTCATTGGACCCTCCCATGGACGGCGGCCCCCCTGGAATCATCGCATGGATTGCGGGGGCCCCAGGAAACCTCATAGGGGCGGCAGGGCCTCTGCAACCCTCCCAGAAGCGACGATTGTACTAAGGACCCTCCCAGGGGCGGTGTAGGCCCGCAGTACCTTTCCAGGTGTGACAGTGCCCCTAGGGACCCTCCTAGGGTAAGCGGGACCCACTGAGACTCTCCCAGGGACAGGGGGGGTCCTGGAACCCTCCAGGAGCAGTGGGGCCCCTTGGGACACTACAGGGGCTGCACGTCCGGGGGCCCTATAGCATACCTGGTTGTGCCTAGGTATATATTTTATACGTCCATCAGTTCCTTAAATGTGATTGGTGGACTAAAATATCTACCCACCAAATTACAGCCAATAGGAAAAGAGAGCAGTCAGTCAGCACAACACCCCAACTTATGTTTTCCTGTTGGATATTATTCTCCATTCCGTTGTTAAGGATGCTATAATACTGGAAATGTGATAATGGCGATGTAGTTGCATCTCCCAGCATTATAAATAACACAAAAACAACTGCCCCCAGAGACCATACAGGGCAGGCGCTCTCAGGGAACCTCCAAGGTGCGGCAGGGAACATCCTAGGAGTGGCTGGGGCCCTTGGGACTCACCCAGGGGTAGCAGAGGTCCCAGGGACCCATCCCAGAGGCAGCTGGTGACCTGGTTCTCACCCAGGTAAGGTGGTGCCCCCCTGCGACCCTCCCAGGTGCGTCGGCGACCCTTCCAAAGGCGGTTGGGACTCATTGGACCCTCCCAGGGACGGCAGCGCCCCCTGAAATCATCACATGGATTGCGGGGACCCCAGGAACCCTCATAGGGGCGGCAGGGCCCCTGCTACCCTTCCAGAAGCGGCGAGGGTACTAAGGATCCTCCCAGTGGCGGTGGAGGCCCGCAGTTCCTTTCCAGGTGTGACAGCGCCCCTAGGGACCCTCCCAGGGTCGGCGGGACCCGCTAAGACACGCCTAGGGACGGGAGGGGGCCCTGGGACCACCTAGGGGTGATGAGGGCCCTTGGGACATTCCAGGAGCCGCACTTCAAGGGGCCCTATAGCATACCTGGTCTTGCCTTGGTACATATTTTATATGTCCATCAGTTCCTTAAATGTGATTGGTGGACTAAAATATCTACCCACCAAATTACAGCCAATAGGAGAAGAGAGCAGTCAGTCAGCACAACACCCCAACTTATGTTTTCCTGTTGGATATTATTCTCCATTCCGTTTTTAAGGATGCGATAATACTGGAAATGTGATGATGGGCGATGTAGTTGCATCTCCCAACGCTCTAAATAACAGAAAAACAACTGCCCCCAGAGACCATACAGGGCTGACGCTCTTAGGGAACCACCCACGTGCGACAGGGAACCTCCTAGGAGTGGCCGGAGTCACTTGGGACCCGCCTAGGGGCAGCAGAGGCCCGAGGGACCCACCCAGAGGCAGCCAGGGACCTTGGTCTTATCCAGATAAGGTGGTGCCCCCTGGGACCCTCCAGGTGCGTCGGTGACCCTTCCAAAGGTGGCTGGGACTCATTGGACCCTCCCATGGACGGCGGCCCCCACTGGAATCATCGCATGGATTGCGGGGGCCCCAGGAAACCTCATAGGGGCGGCAGGGCCCCTGCAACACCTCCGAGAAGCGACGATTGTATTAAGGACCCTCCCAGGGGCGGTGGAGGCCCGCAGTACCTTTCCAGGTGTGACAGCGCCCCTAGGGACCCTCCTAGGGTAGGCGGGACCCACTGAGACACTCCCAGGGACGAGAGGGGGCCGTGGGACCCTCCAGGAGCAGTGGGGCCCCTTGGGACACTACAGGGGCTGCACGTCCAGGGGCCCTATAGCATACCTGGTTGTGCCTAGGTATATATTTTATACGTCCATCAGTTCCTTAAATGTGATTGGTGGACTAAAATATCTACCCACCAAATTACAGCCAATAGGAGAAAGAGAGCAGTCAGTCCAGCACAACACCCCCAACTTATGTTTTTCCTGTTGGATATTATTCTCCATTCCCGTTTTAAGTATGCGATATGCACAAATGTGATGATGGCCATGTATTTGCATCTCCCAGCATTATAAATAACACAAAAACAAAGTTCCCCAAGACCATACAGGCAGGCGCTCAGGGAACCTCCCAAGGTGCAACTTGAGGAACATCAAGTAGTGGCTGGGGCCATTGGGACCCACCCAGGGGCAGCAGGCCCCATGGACCCAATCCCAGAGGCAGCTGGTGACCTGGTTCTCACCCAGGTAAGGTGGTGCCCCCTGCGACCCTCCCAGGTGCATCGGGGACCCTTCCAAGGGCTTGGACTCATTGGACCCTCCCAGGGACGGCAGCGCCTGGGAAGTCATCACATGGTTGGGGGGCCCAGGGTTCCCTCATGGGGGCGTGAGGCCTGCAACCCTCCCAGGCGGCGGGTGCCAGGATGATACTCCCAGGCGGGTGGAGGCCCACAGTACCTTTCAGGTGTGACCGCCCCTAGGGACCCGCCCAGGTGGGCGGGACCCGCTAAGACACTCCCAGGGACAGGAGGGCCATGCTGGGACAACCCTAGGGGTGGTGGGGCCTGGGACATTCCAGGGGCCTATAGCATACCTGGTTGTGCCTTG